CATTCAACTACAGGAGTTATACCCAGTAAAGTGAATGATAAAAATGCACAATATATAATCGCATATAATCACTTAAAAACAATTGATCCACATAAACCTAAGTTTAAGCAAGGTGAATTTGTTCGTATTAGCAAATATAGACATGTCTTTACTAAAGGGTACACACCAAATTGGACTAACGAAATTTTTAAAGTAAAAAAGGTTAAACTAACAAATCCAACTACATACATATTGGAAGATGAAAAAAAAGAAGAAATTCAAGGTGGTTTCTATACTGAAGAATTACAAAAAGTTAAATACCCCGACGTTTTCTTGATAGAAAAAATTATTGCTAAAAAAGGAAATAAGCTTCGAGTCAAGTTTTTAGGAATGGATAATTCACACAATGCTTGGATTAACAAAAATAATTTATTGTGATATTTATTTTTGTATTAAAGACATATTTTATATACCATTTTTTATTTCAACACACTAAAAAACAGTGTGACCGAGTAATCTAAAGTATTCGATCAAAGCTTGAATTCATCCTCGGTCAATATTTTTTAATTTTAAAACTTAACTGCTTGTTAAAACTTACAGATTGGAGGTCATTTAGTCATTATTTAACAGTTTAGAGGTTATGATGTCTGGAGGTTATTAAAGGTAGTAAAAAATTGCAGTTGTGTTTGAAAGCTGTTTAACTTGTTTGAGTTTTAATGTTTACACTGGTGGGGGATGGACTATAAAAGATCATTACATTCAAATATAATAAAAATAATATGGATAGTGATAGTGATTCTACAGATTCAAATATTGAAATTATTTCTGTGGAACATTTAGAAAACTTATCGAATGGTTCAGAAAATAATTTGTCAGATTTTGATAACGAAAACGAAATCCTGATATTGGACCCAACTTATTTAGACTTTAAAGTAAACCAAGTTAATGTTGTGAACAACATAAAATGGATAAACTTTCAATGTCGTCAGCCTTTATGTGTTACTCAAAATTACTACAGTGTAAGTGATGAAAAACTATGTAATAGTTGTTTCTATGAAACTTTTAGAAGAATTACTGAAAATCTTAACCCCACACATCATTCTGAACATTTTTCAGGAACTATGAATAGTATAAAAGATTATATTTATGAATGTTCAAGCTGTAAAAGGCAACTTTTTACTTATTGTTTAGTAATATATTGTACAACTTGCAATTATTAAATAAATGTTTAATAATATTTGTTGTTTTAATCCTCTAACCTCTTTTAATAAACTCTATAGACTTGTTTGATTTCAAAAAAAATTATTAATCTTGTATAATAATATTGTGCTTTATAAGTGTAATAATAAAAAAATAAACTTTTTAACTAGACCGCACTTAGGTATTCTGACTGGTCTTTGGAAAGTACGAAAGCATCACCATATCATGGGGCTGTCAGAATCCGCATTCTACAGAGGGTGCAAACAAGAAGATGAGACCATCAAGCATATACTTTATGAGTGCCTGACGCTCTCATTTATTAAAAAATTTCTGTTTAGTGAGTGTCGGCTAACACCGACCGATATAAGAGAAGCACCTCTTGATTACAATTACATAAAATCTGGTAGGCTTGGAGGATGCATAATGGGCCTAATGAGGCCTAAGTGCTGTGGGGGTAACCCACCCACCACATGCTACAAATACCATACACTTGTTTTAATATCAAAAATGTGGAATCAAACCTTATACATTTTATGCCGCAGTACAATAATAAAAAATTTCAAGGTAAAATGAAATCGGGTCTTATAAAATATTGTTTTTATATCACCCATATAATAAAAATAATTAAACTAAAGAGAAGCACCTCTTGATGATGTTGTCAACTACATAAAATCTGGTAGGTTAGGAGGATGCGCAATGGACCTAATAAGGCCTAAGTGCTGTGGGGGTAACCCACCCACCACATGCTACAAATACCGCACACTTGTTTTAATATCAAAAAATGTGGAATCAAACCTTAAAAATTTTATGCCGCTGTATAATAATAAAAATTTCAAGGTAAAATGAAATCAGGTCTTATAAAATATTGTTTTTATATCACCCATATAATAAAAATAATTAAACTAATGAGAAGCACCTCTTGATGATGTTGTCAACTACATAAAATCTGGTAGGTTAGGAGGATGCGCAATGGACCTAATAAGGCCTAAGTGCTGTGGGGGTAACCCACCCACCACATGCTACAAATACCGCACACTTGTTTTAATATCAAAAAATGTGGAATCAAACCTTAAACATTTTATGCCGCTGTATAATAATAAAAATTTCAAGGTAAAATGAAATCGGGTCTTATAAAATATTGTTTTTATATCACCCATATAATAAAAATAATTAAACTAAAGAGAAGCACCTCTTGGTGATGTCAACTACATAAAATCTGGTAGGCTAGGGGATGCACAATGGGGCCTAATGAGGCCTAAGTGCTGTGGGGGTAACCCACCCTCCACACGCTACAAATACGGATATCTAAAAAAATGTGGGTTCAAACCTTATACATTTTATGCCGCAGTACAATAATAAAAAATATTGTTTTTTATGTCACCCGTATAATAATAAAAATAATTAAACTTTATATCGCTTAACTTGTAAAATATTGCTTTTTTATGACTCGGTATATTAATAAAAAAATAACAATTATTTTAATATTAAAAGTTTTTGTAGTAAATAAAAAATTAAATAAAATGTAAAGTAATATTTAATGTTAATGTCATATAATTGAGTATAAACAAATATAGTACCACTATCATTAAAACTCTAGATTAGAAAAAAAAATTAAAAAATAATTTTTGTGATCCATATTTTTACTTTTTCTACATATTGATTAATAATCACAAGTCACCAGATAATTTAATTTTTTTTGCTTTGTTTAAAGCGGTTTTTAACCGGTTTAATCTTTTAGCAACCTGCACTGATTTTGATTGATAAAATTTAAGTTTTTTTTCTAAATCAAGTACTAATTTATTTTCAACTTTGGTAACAAAAGAATTGTTAAAATGTAGAAAAGTAGTTAGCAAATTTTCGTAATTTTGTAGAGTTTTATCTTCATCTACAGTTGGTAAAGGTGTTAGGCATATAACATCGTCGCTTACCTCCTGCGATTTTAAACCATCCCTGGAATGGCTGACCGGGTCGGTGTGATGATCCATGGGTTCATTTATGTTAATTTTTTGATCACGGACATCGTCTGCTTGATTTATTTCTGAGTTATCAAAGTAACCCTCAGATTGATTTTGATTATCAGGACTTTTTGAGTGACACGCACCTTCTTCGACGTTATTTGTTTCATTTAAAAAATCACTAGCACACACACTAACGAAATTACCATCTGCCATTTTTCTTAAATTACTAATAATGTTTATTTTCGTTTGCATTTTTAAAATGCAAGTGACATCTGCTGATATGCACATCCATTTATATCAAAAAGCTAAAGGCCATCTTCTTACTTTCCCATAAATAAATTTTACATAAATACAGACATAATTTCAATTAAAATTATTCGTTGCAGTTTGAATCATGTCTCAACATACCAAACTCTCCAATCAGTCTCAGGTAAATATAAAGTTTTTATACTATTTTTCGTAAATAAATGACAATGAATGAATTTTTTGGTACATTTCTAAATTTGTGTTTTATCAACTAATTATTTAAAAGAACCCCATGCAGTGGCAACTCTCACACTAGGTCTAGCCCCGGTATAAACTAAAATTATTCTAGCGAAATCTTAAAATATTGGCTAAAATTATTTTAACACATTATTTTCTGTCAATATTAAAACATTTTTTCTAATTTCTTTACAGGACGCTTCTAGCATGACAAATTTTAGGGGATATCTTCCTGCGGGAATAACAACGCTGTTGCCCGGTGAGCTAGAGGTATGTATAGTTTTTATACTATTTTTTGCGAATAAATGGCAATGCATGATTTTCTAAATTTTGTTATTTAACGTTGCCTGCAAAAATATTTATAATAATTATTTTAAAGAAAAAATTGCATAGTTTTACGAGCTGAACCACGAAACACCCTATACACTTAAAATTGATAATAATAGAAATTTTTAATACAGTATGTTTATAATTTCCTAAATATTTTAGCTGTATTTCCTTTTTAAAGTAAATTATTTCAACTAAAAAAATTAATTGGTTCTAGTTTAATAATAAAATATTTTTCTAATTTGTTTACAGGACGCATCATGGGACAACTATAATTCGCCTTCCTACATACTTGATGTAGAAAGTAAAAACATTATTCGAACACCCCCCGCGGGAATGTCCAAGTCAGAAAAAAAAATTTTTAAATTAAAAGAACGTCTGAGGCATTCAGAATTAGCGAAAGTTGTGGTAAAATATTTAATTTTATTTAAAATAGTATTTTTCAATTTTTTAAATCTGTTTACAGGGTGTTTCTTGCGAAATTAAGGGAGAACTTCCTGCGGGGTGGATACCATTGTCGCCAGGCGAGCTAGAAGTATGTATATTTTTTATACTATTTTTTGTGAATAAATAACTTTACTAAATTTTGTTATTTAACGTTGTCTGCAAAAATACTCATATCTACAATAGAATAACTTTAAATTTTATTTTGTTCTAATTATTTTAAAGGAACACGAGTGTGGTAGCTCATGGTCTAGATTACGCGGTATTGCTGGAACACAAAACACCCTATACACTTAAAATTGACAATAATAGCCGTTTTCTAATACAATGTGTTTCAAATTTCTTAAATATTTTAGCTGTATTTCCTTTTTAAAGTAAATAAGTTATTTCAAACAAAAAACTGAATGGTTCTGGTTTAATAATAAAATATTTTTCTAATTTGTTTACAGGACACTTCATGGGATAAGTACAACTGGGCGACTTATGTGCCTCACATGAAATTTATTTTAGAAAAAATAAAATCAACAAAAATTTAACACGTATTTTTCTTTAAGCCTACCTTTAAGTAATCCAGTAGTAAACAATCAAAATATCACAACACTTATCACATCACATGTTTTTTAATAAATAAAAACAACCTTTCACGAGCGAGGTCTGAATGTGGTTAACCATATTCGTCTGGGTCAACTGTCTGTGACCAGTGTAATGACCTAGTTTGGGTTTCTTTATAATCTCGTTCTTAATAGCGCTGTGTTCGAAATCTGAATATAAATTTCATTATCAGTGGCGTTGCTATTAAAAATTAGAAATAAAAATGTTTTAAATTAGAGTTATTTGAAAAAATTTATAAATATTCTTAATTAAATTATTCTGCTACTACTATTTAAAAATAAATAAAGGTGGTTATTTAACAGGCATTAGATCTTATATAAATTTTTATTCAAAGATGGGGTGCTATGGAAAATAAGTATGACAATATGACTGATTTGAGTTATAAGCATGCAATGGTTAAGAAAATTGATTTAAATAATTACACTCATAAAAATTGTATTAAATTATAACAATTAAATTAGATTATTCATAAATATTTGCATTTTTACTACTTTTCCTATAAATAAACTTGTTCTGGCTTATTTGTGTTTTTCCTAATGTCTAGACAGGTGTCTTAAGGTTATACCAAGGCATTGTCTCTTTATTTTTTTTAAACCAGGAGGTTGTCAAACTAGTTTCTGAATATGGAGGCTATGAAAGGTTAATAGCATGTCTGCCCATGACTGGTTTCCTCCAAAGCCCCCCTTTCATCATATAAAAACCAGCTCATCATTGCCACATACATACTTTCTCACTAAAACTGGTTCATTAAAACCGGTTCATCATTGCCACATACAATTTCCCCCTACTGCCGTCTATCAGTGGCCTTATGCATTTTTATGCAGGCTTTCATAAATGACGATTTTTAGCCGTCTGCCGTCCGTTATTGCGTTCCGTTTGGTTTTTATTTATCATAAATATTTTGTATTTTGGTTTACGCGTCAATATGACCATGAATGACAATATTATAAACTAGTAGTTTGACATTGATTTTTTTTTGTTTTTTGATATTGTAGTTAATAAATTAGTAACGAAACAAACATAGAACTCTTTTACTTCAGTGTCAACTAATATTTACATAGGTTAAATGCAGTTTCTCATTTTATTTAGTATTATGTATTATGCCGCTGAATATTGTTTTTTAGTCGGTTATGAAGCTCATCAGAGGATACAATGGACATCCGAAGGTAATTAAAAATTGTATTTTCGTCTACACGTAAATCTTCCATTAAGCAAATGATTAATTGGATGCACTTAGTATATACGATTATGTCGTTTCCGATACTTTTGTATATGACGGTATAAAAGCCACATGGCAATGGTGCGCTTTCGATTCATGTCGATAACCAACTGACATAAAATACAATAGCTAAAGATGGTTTACGGAAAAGAAAACCGTCGATGTGAATTCTACAAGACACGGAAAAAATTCGTACGAATTTTCTCCGTACGAACAAAACCGTTGTGTCTGAAAGAGACGTAACGGTATGCTCCTTCGCATGCAGCTGACTGACGGTGACGTCACGTGGACATAGAATTATTAGCTTTAAATGGGAGATAGTGTTTGAAATTCGATATTTCGCCGGTTTTTGATTTTATACAGTTACTTAAGCTTTATTGGTTATTTTGTAATTTTTACAAATATGAAGGTTTAAGATATATAATACTAATGAAAATATTAATTTTTCTTATAAATTATAGGTATTTTGTGACAAAATCCATAACCTGGCCATAAGATAAATAAAAAATATAGACTAATAATACAAGTATGACTCAAATTTGTACTTTCTGGGCGTGGTAGTTCTCTTTCAATCCATTTTCTTATTATGTGAAATAAAAATAAGTGTGCAGAAACAAATTATTCATACATATATTAGGTGCATACACCTAAGCATAAAAAAAATATTAACGAGAAATTTCATTACTAAAAATTATTTGCTGTTTTTAAAGTAAATATCTAGTACATAATATCAGAGCAAGTAGTTTAAATTAATATTTTATTGAAATAATTTTTGATATTTTTATTTAGTAATAAGGTACTACATACAGTTAAATAGGTTTTTTTTTATATTTGGACAAATTTATTAAAATAAAATTAATTACATTTTTTTTAAAGCTGAAAATATTAAACAACAAACTATTTATTAGTGAAACATAAAAATTATTCAAATGGACAGAAAATGCAAATAATAATGAAAATTAAAAACAAAACAAATTTTTGAAAGGTTAATCGAAAGTCAAAAAAATATTTACTTTTTTGAGCATGTATTTTGACTAAAATCACTTTATTTTCGCAGTCTTTGTTATACAGTGTGTCCAATTAAGTCGAAACCATATGGAAAACTTTTTTATTCTTAGTTTTAAAAAAAGGCATTCGTTATAAAAAGTTAAAATGCAACCAGCAGATATTATTTTTCTTCACACCGTATACGAGGTTTGTCAAAAAATATGAATTTTGCTGAAGAGTATAGTACCTTTATTTTTGACAAACTTCGTATACGATTAATAAAATTTGATATCTGATGGTTGTATTTTAGGTTTTAGACCATGCTTGACTTTTTATGACGAATAACTTTTTTCTAATATTAATAATAAAAAAGTTTTCCATATGCCGCCAACTTATGTAGATAGTTGGTGGCATATGAGATATAGGAAAAAAGTTCATCTTCATAAAAAGTTGAACATTGTCTAAAACCTAAAATACAATTATCAGATATCAAATTTTATTAGTCGTATACGAGATTTGGCAAAAATAAAGGTACTTTACTCTTCAGCAAATTCATATTTTTTTGAAAAACCACGTACCTATAAAGCTTAAAAAAAATGGAAGACGTAAAGACCAATAACGCTTGCGATTAAATCGGTCACTCTTGAGATGAGTTACATTATAAAAGACATTTTAATATCTGATTAGGATGTTGCCAAGAGGTTCGTGGCGAGTATTTCTCCTACATTAAAATGTTTTTTTTTGTTACATTATCAAGAAATAAACAGCATTACTTATTAGTTTTTGAGCGTGTTGTAACGAATTTCTGTAATCAAATAAATTTATTTTATTAATGTTAATTTTTGCAATAAATTGGAAAACATTTAATATTTTCGAAACAGGTATAGGACATAGTACATAAAATATGTCTAGAATTTTCTGAAGAATCCAAAAATTGAAAAATATACAGAAAAATAGGAAAGTTGATATTAGTCACTGTTACATGACACACCCTGTATAAAATTTTTTTGTTAAAAAAATGCGCAACTAAAAATACCAATCGACATGTCTGAGCGTTTTTCGGAACAGGCTCCCATTTATTTATTACCAAATTTATTCTATTTGGCTGTTTCACAGTGTATATCTTTTACTTTCAGTCTCTCGTCATTTTCTAGTAAATATTCTTCCATCTCAACCATTATTTCTTCTAAAGATTTTCCTGTAAAATTTTCGACGCGCGACGTCTCCACTTTAACACAAAATCAAAACTGAACTAAGAACTAGCTTGCTTTCCTAATATTTATTTACCATTCTACCACCACTTTCGTAAATAAAATAGTAGGTAGTTAAAATATAGGTAATAATTATAACATTATTTTAGGCAATATATAAATAAAAAAGATGCCAAATTGTCTATTAAGCTGGTTTGATGTCAAAATGTTAGTAAATTCTAATAGTATATTATATACATACTTATGACGTCCAAATGATAGTAAATATCCTTAAAAAATCATTATTTATATATATTTGTGTGCTATTATTCTTTAAATAATTTCTTAAACCTTTTATTAAAATTATTATGCATATTGAGTTCAAATCGATTGTACATTTGGCATATGTGTATATATGCAAGCCGTGTCGCCAAAATGATGGTATTTATAATTTCTGAAAACCGGCAACGTTGCATGTTGCCAATATGTTTCCACATTGAACGATTTTTCGTATAGTTGCCAAAATTCACCTCAGAGTGAAATATACAAATATACATAAAGTATGTGATTTCGATAACAGCTCCGGGCTCCAAAAAAATTGCTGAATTTATATACACGGTGGTTAATTTTTTAAAAAACCTACTCCTAGGTGACGCCAAATTACTGTTTTATGAAAATACGTCGATATGATAGAATGATGTATATATACAGGGTGAGTCGGGAGGAGCGCACCAAACTCTAGGAGTATATTATACACGTGAAAATAATGTAAAAAACTCATATGTTCTTATCCGATTTTCATTTGTTTTCAAGTTATGGCGTAATTAAAAATGTTCATTTAGCTTTCCACTTCTGAATTTTAACATTATGAAAGTATGCCATATGTTCAAGGCTCAAAGGCATTTGATAATTCTGACGTTTTGATGAACTGTCAGTGTACAGTTCTAGATGTACTATCAGCACGATGGAGATCCTGCACATGTCGCTCGTCAGGTCAAGCAACATTTGGACGAACGTTTTCCAGGGCGTTGGATTGGTCGTGGAGGTCCTATTAATTGGCCTGCAAGATCTCCAGACCTCACACCATTAGATTTTTGTTTATGGGGCTGGATGAAAAATGAAGTCTACAAAATAAAAGTGGACACACGGGATGCACTAATTAGACGAATTGAGAATACTGCAGCCCATATTAAAGAAGAAAGAAATGAATCAATTAGGAGAGCAACAAACGCTCTTCGTAGACGAAGCAGAAAATGTTTAGAAGTCAATGGCGGTATTATTTGTTAATATGCTATAACTTGAAAACAAATGAAAATCGGATAAGAACATACGAGTTTTTTTACATTATTTTCACGTGTATAATATACTCCTAGAGTTTGGTGCGCTCCTCCCGACTCACCCTGTATATCAGAGTTGGGGAGGATTCGAATCACATAGGATTCGAATCCTTTTTGAGGATCCGTGAGCGATATTCGAATACTTAAGAAAAAAAGGATCCTTGATCCGGATTCGCCGAAGAAATTCTTAAGGATTCGTATTCGAATCACCAATATTAGTCTCGGATCCTTTTAGAGATCAAACTACGCCGTCGCGAACGCTCGACTCACGCTTTGACTTTAGCGAAGTGTAAACTGAAACAGACTAAGACTGAAGACCAATTGTTAATATTTAGAAGATAAACGTAAGAATCTACAATTTAATTCAAAGAAGGCAGCAGAGCACCTAGACAATTTTGAATTGAAACTTATGCCAT